TAAAATCAAACTTCAGTTTCAAAATTGTCTTTCCTGAAGTCTGGCTTTTTGGATGGTTCAGAGGGTACCTGAAACATCCTGAAAAATAGGGGAACAAGGTCATTTGACATGTTTAGGTACATGGGATTGCCAAAATGATGTTCAGTTTTCTTTAGGTTATATTTTTGTGAATAATGCTAATATATGTTCCAAAATTGTATGGGATTTATAAAATTGTAATGTCCAAGTATATGTTATCAATCATAATTAAGGTTGTTATGTTAAGTTATTGTAAACGATGGAGATAACCATACTTCTTTGTTAATTGTGTTTTTAATGGCAACTACCCTGGACATTTTGCTATTCACAGACAATTGTTGTGTTGTTTTAGTCCTTTTCAAAAGATGGTTTATAATAAGCAATAGGACTTTGATAGGTACTCTCAAATGCAGGTTTCTGATAACTTTGGAGATTGGAACATTGGCATAAAGGAAAATGTATAGGACTCATAAAGAGATGAAGTGTTCACAAATATCAAGCAAAACAAGAACTAAATGGACTGAACTCAGAAAGCTGAAGCAACCTTTTTAACTTGCTGGGAATGTTGCCAATCTTTGTTTTGTTTTTCAGAGTCAAAGAAACATTTTAAACTATTTATGGTCTTTAATAATAGAGAAAGATATACTTGTGTGAACAAAATTTGGAGCATGTTTGTTTCTCTTTGCCTCTTTCCTTTTTTTTTTTTTTTTTTTTTAGACAGGGGTTTTTTTTTTTTTGACAGAGTTTTGCTCTGTCACCCAGGCTGGAGTACAATGGAGTGATCTTGGCTCACTGCAACCTCCGCCTCACAGGCTCAAGTGATTCTCCTGCTGTAGCCTCCCAGGTAGCTGGGACTACAGGTGTGTGCTACCATGCCTAGCTACCTTTTGTATTTTTAGTAGAGATGGGGTTTCATCATGTTGGCCAGCCTGGTCTTGAACTCCTGACCTCAAGTGATCCACCTGCCTTGGCCTCCCAAAATGCTGGGATTAGCTGTGAGCTACCATGCCTGGCCTAGTTCCTCTAGAATTTGGAAACTATCTGTGAGTATTCTTAACTTATGGAAATATAGTTGTCTGCATCAGTGCAATAACAATCAATTTATCTTTTGCAACAAGACACAATTGGAAAAACTGGTTATTTTCCCAAGGCTTTGAGTGAAAGGCTGTGCCTGTAATCCCTGCTACTCAGGAGGCTGAGCCAGGAGAATTGCTTGAACTTGGGAGACAGAGTTTGCAGTGAGCCGAGATCATGCCACTGCACTCCAGCCTGGGCAACAGAGTGAGACTTTGTCTCAAAAAAAAAAAAAAAAAAAAAGAAAAAGGGTCAATCTTTGTGGGAGGGGACTCCCACAAGTGCCGTGGCAAGGGTCTGAAGTCTCAGTCTATTCCCATATGAATATTGATTTAGAAAAGAATTAGAAATATAAGCACATAGTTATTCCTTTATATAATCATATATAATCAATATAACCTTTAATTTTACTAACGATTATCAGGTTACGAAGCATGGAACTGAGGTGACATTATGAACAAAGTGATCCTAAGGCAGGATGCTGTAAACCCTCTGTCATGCCTGCATAAGGCCTGCTGGAGGGCACCTCGTCTGTGCGGCAGTGCCAGCATTGTGAAGGTGTCCACTGTTTAGCCAGCTAGGGAAGGAGATGTCCAAAATGGCCGAGACACCTCCTTCCTGGGGAATTAGGAGAAAACTCCACTCTCCAAGCTCTTGTGGTAAGGCCTGACGGCTGTCAGGTAAACCCGCAGACATCCAGGTGCTTAACTATCTCTCTGTGATGCTGGGCTTCAGTGGTCACGTTCCATGTCCACTCTCAGGCTCCACTTCTGCACCTGGTTTCTCTTTTTCTCAGAAGATGAGAATTAATAATAGTAACATAATCTTAATATCCCTGATATTTCTGACAAATATGCGAAGAGTGCTGACGTATTAGGTTTTCTCCTCGTCAGCTACTTGAAAGTTCTGGGCCCCCCTATCTCCAAGACACGTGATTTCTCTCATCCTATCACTGACCACCATTACCTCATCTTACCTTCCCTGCCCCCTGCTTTGTACTCAATAAAAGTCAGAGCGTCCAGGCAGTTGGGGCCACTGCAGGACTGTGATTTGGTTGGCAGTGGGCCCCCGGGCCCAAACTCTCTTTTCTCTATCTCTATGTCTGTGTCTTTTATTTCTTTATTATTATTATTATTTAGAGATGGGGTTTCACTATATTGGTCAGGCTGGTCTCAAAACTCCTGACCTCAGGTGATCCACCTACCTCGGCTTCCCAAAGTGCTGGGATTACAGGCGTGAGCTACCACACTTGGCTGTGTCTTTTATTTCTATAGTTTCTCGTCTCTGCACCAGCATGGAGGGGCTCACAGAACCCTCTAGGGCTGGACCCTACAAATCTTGCCTTGCAGAGCCAATACAAGCCCAGTGGGGAAACTGGCCTCATCCTCTTATCTACGCAGCCCCTGTACAGGGTTCCTGACCTGTGGTCAGTAAATAATGTCACTTTCTAACATGTCCAGGAGCTCCAAGTTTATCCTGGGACCTTAAGAAGAGAGGATCACCCAACAAAAGTTTTATCCTGGGACGTTAGGAGAGGATCAGCCTAGCTCATGGCTGGGCTTGGCTTTAAAAGGTCTTATCTCAGATTCTCTGTGGAACAGAGTTTCATCAAAGCTAATCCAAAAGACTTGTGTAGAAATAATTATTCTTGCTGCACTTTATGCAAATAACCAGACCCAGTATGACACTAAAATCTATTTTGCAAAAAATTGAGTCCTATCATATTTTCTTTTTTTAACAAAAATGAGGACTGGAGCGAAATTATGTTCCAAAACTTATACATTTGCCATTCATTTGTTGTTTTTTTTGTTTTGTTTTTTTGAGACGAACTCTCACTGTCACCCAGGTTGGAGTGCAGTGGCACGATCTTGGCTCACTGTAACCTTCGCCTCCCAGGTGCAGGCAATTCTCCTGCCTCAGCATCCTGACTAGCTGGGATTACAGACATGTGCCACCACGCCCAGCTAAATTTTGTATTTTTAGTAGAGACAAGGTTTCAGCATGTTGGTCAAGCTGGTCTTGAACTCTTGACCTCGTGATCCTCCCATCTCAGCCTCCCAAAATGCTGGGATTACAGGCGTGAGCCCCCATGCCCAGCTAATTTTCGTATTTTTAGTAGAGACAGGGTTTCACTATGTTGGTCAAGCTGGTCTCGAACACTTGACCTTGTGATCCTCCCATCTCAGCCTCCCAAAGTGCTGGGATTACAGGCGTGAGCTACCGCGCCAGCCTACATTCAGTTGTTTTTAAGTTTTTGCCTACATTTTTAGACTAACCTTGCTTGTTTGTGTGAACCAACCGGCAATCTCCGGCTGCAGCTCAGAAAGAACAAGAGAGATGGGTAATGTAAAATATCTGGATTAGTATTCTCGTTCTGAGCAATTATCCTGCAAATTCTGCCAGGTGATGGGAATAAATAGGTTGCCCATCATTCAGAGGTTTCCTTTTGGGAAAGTAAGACCAAGGAAGCTAATCAAAGCCAAGCACCATGCATCCAAATCCTAGCAAACATAACTATAACCACCAAGTTATCTGGGTGTGTCACAAGACACCCTTTTCTCTCCCTCGTTGGAGGACTCAGTTCCACAGCTTTACCTTAGCATTCGGCTTATGATAAGGAGTCCATGCAACCCCCAACTCCTCAGCATAAATGAGGTCTAGGGAACTCCAAGACTGCTGACAGCAGGGGTGATAAGGGCGTACATGGGTAGACCAGGTAATTTCCACCCCCTAGACCCCTGATTCATGATGCAAGCCCCTCTGGCATCCATGGGAGCACTTGTCAAGGTGGCAAGGACTCGGGGATGCAAGCTTTCTTCTCTCCCTCATGTACCCCAGGTATCTACTAGGAAGAGAAGGGAAGCAGGGGTGCCTGCTCCCCACTTTCTAGATAGGTAGCCATTCATCTTCATCTGCACCACTTTCAAATGCATCTTGAAGCCCTGGAACTCCTTGGAAAAAATGCCTTCTTTTAACCTTTCTCCTCCTCAGTTCTTGCCTCACAGATAGGTCATTGTTTCCATACTACAGAACACCCCCCTCAGATGCATCCTCCAAATTGGAAAGAGTTAATTTCCCAAACCTTAAACTGGTTGGCTTAGGATTGCTTTTAGGAGAAGGGAACTCAGAAGTCCAACATGTCAGCAAAAGGGTAAAGTTGTTTACCATTAGGACTTTTGCCCCCCTGCGCCCCCCGCCCCCGTACAAATTGGTAAAAGGCCTCAGGAATTTTGAGCTGTCCTTATGCCTCCTCTTGTTTCATTAAAAATTTTTTTTGGCCGGGCGCGGTGGCTCAAGCCTGTAATCCCAGCACTGTGGGAGGCCGAGGCGGGTGGATCACGAGGTCAAGAGATCGAGACCATCCTGGTCAACATGGCGAAACCCCGTCTCTACTAAAACTACAAAAAATTAGCTGGGCATGGTGGCGCGTGCCTGTAATCCCAGCGACTCAGGAGGCTGGGGCAGGAGAATTGCCTGAACCCGGGAGGCGGAGGTTGCGGTGAGCCGAGATCGCGCCATTGCACTCCAGCCTGGGTAACAAGAGCGAAACTCCGTCTCAAAAAAAAAAAAAAAAAAAAAAAATTTTTTTTAAGACGGGCTCACTGGAGTGCAGTAATGAGATCTCCGCACACTGCGAGCTCCGCCTTCTGGGTTCAAGCGATTCTCCCGCCCCAACTTCCCGAGTAGCTGGGAGTAGTCAGGCGCCACCAACGGCTGGCTAATTCTTGTATTTTTAGTACAGACAGGGTTTCACCATGTTGGTCAGGCTGTTCTCGAACTTATGACCTCAAGTGATCCACCCACGTCAGCCTCCCAAAGTGCTGGGATTACAGGTGTGAGCCACCACGCCAAGCCCCCTTAATTTTGAGACATGCTTTTTAACCTGGTTTGTCTCTTTTCGACTTCAGGCCATCACACTCGGAAGGGTCATGCAACTGGAGCCTTGGACCATTGCCCCTTCTGCTGGGGACCCTTAGATAAGCCTCTGAGGGAAATCTGACTGCCATTTTCCCAAGACAGAGCCCCCTGTCAGCAGGAAGCAGTTAGATCGGTCTTTGGCCCTATCCTTATCCATATTCTAATGGCAGTGAGATGGACTTCTTCAGCGGGTGGGAATGAAATAGCCAGGTGGGAACGGCTCCCTGGCAAAACTCCAACTGGCCTGTGCGCTGGGAGGAGTGCGCACCGGGGCGGAGCCACAGAAGTTCGCTTCTCCGTTTGCTGCGGGGAGGAGCCTGGCCCCTCCTCTTCCTCGTTGGAACCTGGGATTTAATCTGTGAGGAGGGTCCCTATTCCCCCTTTTCTTCCTTTTTATCCAATAAAACCCTGCCTTTCCCTTCAAATTGTCTGCGTAATGTTTCCTGGGGTGTGACAAAGGACCCCATTCATCTTTAGCTGAAGTAAGGAAAAGTCCCACAACATTTGCATGTGTACCTTTGTATTTTTATTACATATATGGATGTCCCTAAACAACATATAGTATTGTTTTGCTTTATATAAGTTATTACAAAGGCATTCTGCAATTTGCATTTTCCCCAGCCTTGTTTTTTGAGATTCATCCATGTGGATGCGGGAAGCTGTAGAGTACTTCCCCTGCTGCAGGACGGTTTGTCTTTTCTTTT